GAAACAGGTATTCTTACTGTTCCCTCTCAATATATATATGAAAATATTATGTATGTACGCAAAAACTTAAATTTATTTCCAAAAAATAGTCACTTACACGCTTTTAATACAAGGAATAAAAATAAATTAAATATGCCTAGTTATCGTCTCAAAAAAGTAAGTACATCTTTCATGGGACATTGTATACGTTTTTATAATAAATTGCCAGATAGTGTTTTAAATTTAAGTGAAGCCAAATTTAAGATACATGTAAAAAAAACACTTTGCTCTAAAGCTTATTATAAAATAAACGACTACTTAAATGACTACAATGTGTGGACTTAATTACAATTTTAACTTTTGTTATGAGGCATATAATTTTTCCCATTGACATGGATAATGTAATAACAATAAAGAAACTTATTATAAATTTTGTAATGACATATTGTAAATTAAATAATGTAAATTTAATATTGTAATGGGTGAAAACTGTGATCGGTACAGCCTATGCTGTAAATAATATAATTGACGTAGTGGAGTAACCTGAAACAGTCATGCTCGCTATAAAGTTCAAACTTGTGGCGGCGTGGTGGGCCGGGTCGATGTGCTCCCTCAAATATGGTTGAGTACAATGATAGCTGGCTCATACGTCATACTCGTGAACGGGTGCTGCTTGTGGGGACTGGTCTGTTCAGGTTGTGAACACTGATTAAATTTTTTGTTCTTTGCGATAGCATATGCTGGTGGTCACTCTATTCTCCCAAATTTGAATTTTAATAACTGTATTTATCATAAACATGTTCCACTATTATTTGAAAAAATTACGAGCTGAGTTTCTTGTCAGTTCTTCTCATCTCGATATCATTCCGAACTGACGGTAGATTTGACATATCATAAGAGTCTGTAATAGACCTACATGAATAAAGATATTTTGAATTTGAATTTGAATTTGAATTACTTGATACATTTGCTAATAGGTCTAGTTAACATATTAAGTTTTAACGGACTTGTAGCTTTTTTATCACAACAAAAGTGAATCATAGACACAGTTAGGCAGATCCAATATGTTTTGCTAATCGGAATCATGTGTAGTTTTTGTTTTTTATACCTACTTACATTAAACTTCTTTAAGCGGTCTCAAACCTTGGTTTAAAAATATAGGATATAAAAAAAAGAAAAAAATGGTCTTGTTTACCGGTTGTAACGAAACCTATCATTTTATAGTTTAAGGAAGGAATACAATCACGATTTGTAGGGAGCGAATAAATAAAAACTATAAAATAGTGATCAGACTATTTACAATATAACTGCTAATTAAAATTCGATTTATTTGACTATTTAAATATCTATACATTGATCTTTCATATATTAAAATCGTAAATATGTCACACTTTACTTTATTTCTGATCGGTCTATTTCATATATTTTTCAAATATAAGTAGTGCATAAATCGAATTCTAATTAGTAGTTACATTAAACATGTAAACTGTGTGTAAATTTGTCAACAAAGTGAAGTTGGAAATAGTTTTGAGTTTTTCATTACCATTGCATTTGGTACATATTATTAATATAGTTAAACACGTTTTAATACGAATAATTTTATAGTCAGCTTGTGAGCAGCAGCTCTCCTCATGCAAGCGCGATAGCAATACTACAAAAATTTTGCTGTAAATATTTGTTTAGCTCTACTCGGGTTACTTCGTTATTCTGAAAATTCAACATAATTCCAATGACATGCATATTTTTACAAGTTTTTATACTCTCTTGGATTGTTCATGCGAAGTAGCGCTTAAAGGACGTAGATTTTTTTTTTTGGCAAAAATAGATTTTTTCAGTTGTGTGTAATTTGTTTAAATGAACTTATTAAAAGAAAATCTGACTAGTGTTACGTTTCACACACTAGTGTTATATTATTATTAAATAATATTAGTCGCTTTATCTTATGGATAATATGGTATCTAGTTTACTAATTAAACTAGATACCATTTTATCATATTGTAGAATTTTTTCATAGTAGCACTTTTTGTATGCGTATGTTAGCCTCAATATTTGTGCCAAAAATGTGTACAATGTATGTATTTTGTACAACACCATCTGGTAAATAGTAGACAACCTGTTGTATAATGTTTATAGTTGTAGTATCAATGTATGTATTTTGTACAACGTCATCTATTAAATAGTAGACAAGCTGTTAAAATAAATTTATTCGACTTAGAAATGGTCACAGCTCTAGTCTGAATAAGCATAAACCATAACCTCTTTGTTTTCTTTTTATTATGAGATACCATAGACAAATGTAAATACAGATTATTTAACACTACCTGCTCACATGTCATTTATTAATCGACATGTCCCAATTGTCACTGAGTCCTTGGCATCTTGTTCATTCAGGTAATTAGAGACACGCAAGCATGGTTGGCGTACAAATTATACAACATTGACGAGTAACGATCGCACGAGGGATAAATATATTATTATGTTTTTTATTCAGTAAATAAGACCCACCGAGTAAGTAATCACTAGGTTTTTAGTCAAATAAATTATGTATAACTAGCAGCGCCTCTGTAACTATGTGTGTAAAAACGGCTACACTGTAGTCCATTGTACAATGTTCTCGTACAGCCAAAAACAGTACCAGATCGAGGCAAATTGAGAGGAGCTCTGTCGTCAAGGAGGACAATGAAGAGATACCACGATAAAAGCTGTCATTCTGTCTAGAGTGAACAACTGAAGAGAAAGAAGTTGTGCCCTCTGTTTTACCGGGTGAAATTTATAGCCAATGTATTATTCTGATGTATAAGCTATATTTTTGTAAGGTTTCGTCAAAATAGGTTCTGTAATTTTTGCGTGAAAGAGTAAACATCCATCCATACACACAAACTTTTGCGTTTGTAATATTATGTTATCTGTGTTAAGACTATTAAGAAGTAAGATAGATGGACCGAGATAGATTTCTTAAAAATGCGTCAGTGTCATCCATTCAGCAGCCGAGCAGCTTGCTTTGTAAGTTGTGTTTCGCTTATAGGGTCAGATTTTGCAGTGAAATTACAGGATTAATGGCACAATCTTTGATATGAGTTTAAGAACTTTTTAAAAATATATATATTTTTTTAATTGCACTATTCAATGAAGGTAAAGAAATTTGTTTTTTTTATTAATTTATTTTGTAACTTGCAACGAAACATTACAAAATAACAATTGATATGCTCTTTAGAATAAGGCCAACTAAATGTTTTCACACGATTACGACATATTTGGTTTTGGTTTAAATCTTTTAATAGTTTTTACACTATCGGAATAGCAAAGAATATTTATAATTATTAAATTTATTAGTTATCCACGTGGGTCTGTATGAAAAAAAAAAGAAAAAAATATTTATCGCCAACCATTACATTGTTGCACACATATACATGTAAGCAATTACTAAATTTTTGAATGTGTATACACATACATACATATACACAAAAATGATAACATACAACAATATCAAATACGTAAAATTACATTACAATACATATATAAATTCCTAGTTGGTAACATGACGGACACTCAGCATATGCCGTACCAGCTAACTATAGCGGCGCTGGTGTTCTGAGCCTGCCATTGAGAGAAAGTGGTATATCGTGATATTTTGACTTTAACAACAACATTAATAATACGCTGCTGTTTCCAAGGTGCATACCTTGAACGTTGTTTGAGGAGTCCTCAAACTATAATTAATGTAATTTTGTCTTCCGTATTAAAAGGAAGACTTGCTCATCTTGGGTTGTCACGATTTGATGATTTCTTATATCACATGACAAGTATATTATTGGTGTGATGTCATAAATCAACCCTGGGACAGACAAACACACAGTAAATATGTAAACCTATTTATTTGATCGTGACAAGACAATCGTGCACTATGATACTCGCTGAGTATGAGTTGAGTAGTGGCAATATACGAGAGTATAATTTATGGCAACACCAGGGATGTCAATCGTATAAATACGGTAGTTTATGCCTTCAGTATAATCCGTCAGGCGGGAGTTGGCCTTCAGCTACTCCATAAGTCCTACCGCGGGTTTGGTGTGCCATCTGAACTCGCTTCCTATCGTCCGGTGGAGCTGTAAAGGCCAGCTGTAGCCTATAGCATTAGAGTAGTCCGAAAAGAAAACTTCAGTACGATAAATGATCCTTGTATAAGATTGTGGAGATATTGAAGTACGACAATGGGGGAAAATATTATGATGTACGAGATTAAAGGGCCAAATTCAACGTTAAGAGGTTTTATCAGATTTGTGATGTGTTTGAAGTTTGGCAACCCTGGTCAAAACCAAGCTTCAGGGTCACTATACTCGTGTTTAGTCATGCATGATTGAAGTGCGAATTTTATTGGTTTGTTTATGTTACCAATTGTTTTTTTAATACTACAGATTATAAAACACTAACCTCTGGCCCTGGGTCATTAATTTAAAAGGATACGTAGAAAAAATTAAACGATTTAGATTATTATTATAGGGTTCAGCAACTCATCAATCGTATGATAATCATTTCCCTGATCTTATACAGTTACGTTTGATATTAGGTACAGAAATTGAGAAAAAGAGAATTCAAGAGTGATACAGGAATCACGTTCATTTAAAGTTATATGTATCCTACATACGTACCTATTTCTTTCCCAATATATAACTCATATTATAAGCCATTAAACATACTAAAAAAATAATCAATCAGAATCTTTTTTTTTATAGATCGTCAATAAATTCAAGTTTGAGATTTGAGTAATCAGTGTCCACTAATGTTAATTCGGGTTTGGTTTTTTTCGAAAATAGAATTAATTAAGAATTCTACTTTTCTGTAGAAACTGGAACAGAAACTAAAAACTGGAAAAAGTTTGGTCGATTATTATTGTATATGCCACTTACGGACCTCTTGCGTGTTTTTTATGTCCTGTTTATTGACGAAGTTATTATGAGAGGTTATTTTATTATAATATACCATTCATCTACCTCGTTGAACTTATTGCTATGTATACTTACAAAGGCTAGGTCGATTTGTTTTTCAGCACGATTACCGCTCAACGGATATCCTTGTCGTCCCAATTCCTGGAAAATAATATTAAATGTATACTATTTCATTATTAATAGATTTCAAGTATTTGATATAATTCAAATAATTGGAAGCTAATAAAGCAAAGCTTGTGGATACCGGCTTTGCGTTTCTTTCGTAATTCTTTCTAATCGTAATTTTTAAAATTATTTCTGCTACAATATGTTGGTTGTGCTTGCTGTTTCATTGTCAGATTATTATTGTATGTAATTATGTATGGTATATGTATCCGTATATATACACATATAGCTATAGATGTATATATACTATTCATTATTCATATATATATTTGTATGTGCATTGTTTATTATATCATTTATTTATATCACTCATTAGAATCTGTCCAGTATTATCATGCAGTAACAGTAATCCAAACATTTACCTCTACATACATTCACGTTTATAATATTATCAGAATTAAGTATAGATCAGGATTCACAATTGCATAATTAACCTAATTCCGATCCTATATCGTTGGATGGCGCGACTTCTTATGATATTCTTATACTTTTGAAAAAAATCAACTACCAGTGTACGAATATGAACCCTGTTGTTGTATTAATTCAATATTATAAGATCAATGAAATAACTAATTGACATTGTTATAGGTTTATTTGGTTTAGTTTTCACTGTGTTTCAAAAGATAGTACAAAAATTGATTGAAATCTTCATTGAGATTAGACTCCAGGTTAGACTAGAGTTCATAGACTCGGGCTTGGGTCGGTAAAAAGTAATTGTCCGATGGTGAGAGATATAGTCGGTGCGGTGGAATCAGACACGGCCGATGCACAAGTTCAACAAACCCCGATTCTTTCGGCAATTACCGCGTTTTACAGAATTACTTCAAATTTATGTCTCTTATATTTTTTAGAATTTGGTGTTATTTTGCGAACGTCCATTTCATTACTTAGTGGATTTATATTACTTTGTTTAAGTCCCCTACCATTAGCATGTGTGAGACCACAAATATTCAGTGCGGAAACCTGACCAACCTTGTTAGAAGCGTTACGATCATCGCTATTAGTGATCAAACTCCGACCGTTGGATCTACACCCTTATCGTAACACGTGTTTCGCCTCTAATCAAGGCATCATCAGGGAGAAGATAGAGTTGACTATTCGACGACCAGACTACGACTATGAGTCGTAGTCTAATCGCCGAACCATCTGGAATGATTGATAGTAATGTGCCCCTGAAAGCAATTATTGTGAATATTGCTATATACTTTACGTACTTATTTTTGGAATCGCAATGACAAACATGCTAATACTTGAACAATACCACGGAGATTCCTATCTTGTAATTCTAGAGGATTAAGATGTCAAGAGTATTCCTTACCCTTTAATTTCTCTGCTACATCTTAGTTTATAAAGCAAGATACTTTGGGGTGCAAAAAGAGTTGGCAGAGATACCAAATTAGATGATTTATCTAGATGGAGTCTCACTGGAGTCTGGAAGTGTACCGTTAGCGAAGGTGGTAATACCACTTACAATGAGAGTCACTAGCATTTTTATAGATTTAAAATAGGAGTTTTCTTTACATCCATTGTTTTTTATATACACTTCTGTCAATGCGCTCTGCTTTAGTAAACGTCTTAATATCTTTGTATCATATATCAGTAGATATTCCATTTAATATAAATCAATTCCATTTGAAGTCGGGTGAAGATGATCATGTACATCCAAAACTAATTTCCTTATTGAATTGTCTTCATACGTATTATTTGCCATAGTGTAAATATTTGTAAAACCTTGTGGTCTAGTGAACAATAACATCTGAATTGTATAGCACTGAACTCTATAACGATTTATTGATTTAACATTAATATTATCCATAAACTGATGTTAAATTTTATATATTAATGTTATGTTTAAAACTTATATTCATTTTACTTACTAGTTTAATGAACTTGCTTTGTTTTCGCGACAATTGGATCGCGATTCACCCGGAAGTCTTCATGGTGAAGAATACTAAACTTCCGGAGATTTCATTAAGAATTGCGTAATTTTCTTTGCGCATAATGTAGTGTCATGCGAGGTAAAATATAATGGAAATTAAATACTGTATAAATGGGACGTCCCTAATAGCGTCCAAAATGTAGAGTATTCTTAAATAATACTATTAGAGTAAATATCCCATACATACAATGTAAAAAAAGCCTTGATGAATTTATAGAATTGTAATTGTGTATTGACATATTTTTCCTAACTTTAATAGATATAACTTAAAATCTATGACATTGAAATTATTAAATTGCAATTTATTCCATTGTAACGAAATTCAACACAAAGTAAGTTTTTAAGAATAAATGAAATGAAACAAAAATTTTGAATTTCCTAAGTTATGCGCGGTTGTTCTTCTGCACGGCCACAATATGCGCCATCAAATCGGCGGTTAAGACTAAAAACAATTCTACTTACATACAAATAGGGTTCCATATAAACTTCGTATATATTGCTCTGATAGTCTTGTATTGCTGGTAAAGTTTTAATAATAAGGTTTCTTCCGTATCCTGGAACTCCTTGCAGAGTCTTGCCATTTAAAACCGCTACAACCCACAGTAACTGGCCGAAAAACACGTGAAAACGTAAGTTCATTTTTCAAAAGCAGAAAAAACTTTTTTACGCGCAAAGAACGCTTCGTACGCGTCTTTATTTTACAAATGGAAGGGAATCAATGATTATAATATGGAATCTGTTTAGCAGGTGTTTTTTTTTTATTAATAGCTAGTAAGGCGACCACACTTCACGGTGCCTTGTCATTACCTGGTCCCGAGATGGCCAAGGCTTTGTAATTGAGACGCATGATGTAATAATAACTTAGACACGGCATTGTTTGAGTTATTGGTGGATGTAGTAGGAAACTGGAGGCTTCATGTCTTGTATAAATCACGGTGCATTGATAGCCTTCAATGTTATGGGTAACTGTTAATTATGAAATTTTATAAATCGTGATGATGCATAAACTGTTTAACTGTTTATGAATAAATAAATACATTAAGTGGCATTCCAATTGTATACCAACGATTAACAAAACGTCTACTAAACCTAAATAGAAAAAAAAAAAAAAAATGATAGAGACAATGACGGTTCACTGTCCCTTTAACAAACACTTGTACACAATAGGTGCTACACACAGCCCTTCTTGTCGAAGCTGCTTTGAAGCCGAGGAAACGGCCGCTCATGTAATCCTGGAGTCCTTGCAGTAACCGTACAACGTGTGTACGTTCTCTGTACGGTGAACGGTGAGGTCACTCCGTGAAGCCTGTGAAGACATCAGGAGGCTTCTGCGAGGAGCTTGCATGTCTAGTTTAGTAGTCTCGGCTCTACGCTCACAACGGCCTAGATGAGAGACTAAATGCGTATAGTAGATACCAACTTTTAGAAATAGAAATAGAAATAGAAATAATCTTTATTCAAATAAACTCATTGCAAGCACTTTTGAATAATTTATTTACATTGACATAAAAATATTATTAACAAGTTTATAAAGATTATTATTGTATCTATAGTTTTATAATATCATTGTTATGTCCCTTTTGTGTAACAGAACAGAGAAGTAAAAACTGAACAGACTTCTAAGTAATATGGATATCACACAGTTGCCATTCTGCAAGGATGACGGCTGTTCCCAGGAAGTTTACTGTTTTATTTCAATTTTTATATATGTGAGGACATAGGTAGTTTGGAAAGCTGTTGGAAAGATGAAATCTAAGTTGAAAATTGGAGTAATGTAAGCTTGTTTCTATTTCAATTACATAAAAAAATATATATGTATTATTGTCTATGGTTTTCTTTTTGTTTATAAATACAATGGCTGATATTATGTAACTGATATTATTATTCGAATATATTCTTAACTCGTCTTCATTTAATATTTATTAAAATGCAGCTCACGTAATATGCTAAATTTTTATAGTCTGTAACCTAATTTACGGCCTCTAGGCTCTGTGGTAGGTATGTTAATTTGGGTACCTATATCAAAGTTGAAATCAATTCACATGAGTGCTATTTTTTTTATATATTCGCTTGTTTTTATTTATATCTTTCAGTGGAATAAAAAACTGGGATACATATATTCCGGTTGTTTAAATATACATATATCGTACGTAGCTTCAATACAGCCTTTTTTAAAGATTCTGGTTTTGTCAGAGAATAACAGAATGTTCTATACTGCTCTAGTAGCATTCGTTTGTGAGAAATAATCAGGACATTCCTGTAATTGTTTCATAATATTTAATCTTTGTAAGCAAAACATACAGTTTGTTGTGCATAGTCATCGTTTTGATTGAACTATTATATTTTTTATATAGTAATAACTATTTAATTACCTATTTATTTACAAACGCGATGTTTTTACTTATATTAAGAAATAATCACTACCATATTACTAGAGCTACCTATTTAAGTGCACACTAAATATACTTGTAATTATTATAAGTATATCTGCTGAAAAACCCCATAAATTTAGAGACTACAGCATGGGGTTTTTCAGGAAGGATATATATTAAAGTTTCTTAAGGGTTGGCAACTTGCATGTGACACCCTGTGTATTTGAAGAGTCCATAGTCTACGGTAACCATTTACAATCAGATGGGCTATAAGCTTATGTTTCTTTTTTAAATATTACTGTTGTATAAAAAACTTAGCATAGTATACAGGGAAAATATAATTGTAATTTTAAAAGTGGCTATAACAGAATAGTTAACGTTTTTCAGGCAGCGAATTATAGACATACTAATTAAAAGTAGTGAATTTAAATGTGGAATCGTGACTAGGTTCTGAATAAAGCAGGAATAAATTAATACAATAAACAATAGAATTACGAAATTGTCATTGAATACATTAATCTTAAATCAATTTCACAATGATACAGAAACTAAATCATTATTTTGTATGTGTTAAATCTTTCATAGGTAGGTACAGTGTATTTTAGCTATTGAAATTAAATATAGGTTTTAATTAATAATAATTTAGGTTTTAAAAATAGAATTATCGAATGGTACAGAATATATTTAACTTCATAATGAAATATCACAGACACAAACGACGACTATACGAGGTAGGTAATCACAATGTTTTATATTTACTCATGATTTCTTGTATTATTAGAATTATATACAGTTTTTTTTTAATTGTTTAATATATATATATATTATAGGACTTACGTTTCCATAGCCAATGCCAGAAAGAATATAGACAATAAATGTCACAGATTAATAATCTTATTATATTGCCATGGACTATAAATGTAACCTACAAACCTCATTTATATTTTCCCGCGAATATTGACTGACAACAAAAAAAAAGTGCTAAAAATATTTTGACATTCATTGACAAATCGTCCTACTAGAAATTTGGGATGATTCTGTGATGGGTAAAGTTGGAGAATTTAGATAATGAATAGGGACTTTGTGTTCAATAACCAGCGGTCAACGCCGAGTGTGTGGTCAAGGATTGGCGGCACCCTGAATAGATGGCTTTGGGGAGCATTGTGTTGCGGTATACCCGGTGTGCCATGTTATTTCTGTACCTGCTGCCAGAGAATTGACGATATTGGCCTACAGAGGGACCGTCAAGGAATTAACCGTATGTTTCTTTAATATCGAATATGAATTCATTTTAATTTTCAGTATGTTGTAGTTTTTTAAATTCGTTAATTCGATAAGGCAAAGAGTATGAGCCATACAGCAATGTCATAAGTTTTATACAATATAAATACTTCTTATTGAAATAAACTTTTGCTTTTATTATTTTAAATAAAAATTATCATCAATATCTCGTCAGGATTCAGATTCAGTTTTACTCCCATAGAGTGTCAAACTGAATCTTGTGACAGAAACATTCCCGCCAAAATGAAGTTCTTTGCGTTATTGTAGTTCATTGTTACACTAAAATATCATTTTTTTTTACAATAATATAACTTTTGTATAATCAGTTACAAATCGACTTAAGATGACATCTAGGAATTTGTTAGTTGAAGCACAATTATTATTGTTTTTAACGACGCCCAACTTTCCCGCCAAAATTTAAAATTCAATAGAAATACGTGACTTCAAAAACAAAATATTAAATTAGTCTACTTACGTGCGTGTTAAATGATAAATTAATAATAAAGTGTTAAGTGATTACGTTTTTGTAGAATAATATTCCTTGCTTTTGTATGCATTTATGCAGTAGCAAAGAGTACATTACGTGATTTTGCTAACAGGTTTCGTGTCAGGCGCTAACATTTCCAGTTTCGGTTACATCAATAAATAATATTAACTATTAATCGAGACTTTGTCTAGGATTTAAAAATAAAAGATGGTGTATATCTATTCTCGTGACGCCATCTATATTTTACCAAATTTTTATTAACATTTGTTCAGTACGTTAAACAGATCGACAGACAAAATTTGTATATTTAATATTAATTACTAATAATGTAATTGTCTGTTACTAATTTAGGATGGGTTCTCAGGTTTAAAAAAATAATTTAATGATAATAATAGCTCTGGATAATACACACAACGTCATCTGTTTCCAAGTTAATCTGAGCTCGGGCATAGATGACGCTGTGCGAATTGTCCAGAGGTATTCTAATTTTTTTTTTAATTTTATGTTATGGGTACTATTAGATAAATGATATAAATACATTTGTTGTATTCTTGTTGCTTCAATGAAGTTTCAGGGAAAGTTAATTATAATCTCTACTTCTATTATACCTACATATAAATATAATAAAATTGGAGGGTTTGTTTGTAATATTGAAATAACCGTTTTTAGTACATGCATATGAATGTAAATACAGTACATACACCAAAATAACATTTTTTACAATTTTTGTCTGTCTGACTGTTTGTTCCGGCTAATCTCTGAAATGGCTGGCCCAATTTTGACGGGACTTTTATTGGCAGGTATCTGATGTAATAAGAAGTAACTTAGGCTACTTTTATTTAAGAAAAATAAAGCTAAATTCCACGCGGACGAAGTCGCGGCTACAGCTAGTTAATAAATAAAAATAATACATTTTAAAAATCTTAAAATAAAACTACTAGAGATATATACAGTCTCATTATTTCCAGAATCTACAGCAACAGCAGACCGCATGTCCCGACCTCACCGTCCGCACGCTCCTCGCGGCCGCAAATCCACACCAGAGATGCTGTCCGCCGTCCGGTGCGCCCTCTCGCAGCTGCAAGGCGAACCAGCGCCACCTGTCACCAGGGTTGATGATAGACAGACCCCGGAGCCAGGTTGAACCGACGAACCTATCTCGTGATGAGCATACTTATTGACGTAACAAATGGTAATAAAATGTGGGTAACGTTTTTAATCCGATTGAAGAAACGAAATATATTGTAAAGTTAATCTAATATCACTTCTGAAAACTGTACTGCTTGTATGTTTGTCTATAAGTTTGCTTGCCATGCATATGTTCAAACTTTAAGGTACTTTTTTGTTTTCATAAAACATAATGTCAAGCAATGTAGGCGAATTGTTTTGTCTAAAGTAGATATAAACTCGTATGTCTAAAGTAGATATAAATAAAGACTAGCTGTTTGTTTTTATAATTTTCTCGCTTTGGATTCTTATAAAAAACATATTACTACCATACTACAGTCAATAGTTGAACATATAAACTCTATGTTCAAATATAGACCGTAATACTCTACAGTCACCTCGCACACTCTTCTAAATTTTAGTGTTTTAAATTTTGAATACTAGAATTGAAATGTTATGTCACAAAATCTAGGACCCTCCGGAGGGTGGGAGACAAGTATCTATCATAGAAGAAATCTAGGAGAATCCATGTTTTTATACACGAAGTGTGAAACTTCTCCAATCTCTTGCTATACAATGTCACGCTTTGTCAACCCTCTACATGTGACTAAATAGGGAAATACAATTAACTACTTGTTCCTTTTTCTTACGGGAATTTACTCATACCCTTTCCCAGTATACGTCTATATGCCTACTAAATCGTAGTATTGTGAAGTAATTGAAGTTTCTTGATTAGTCAACCATGGAAAGTTCGTTTTCACAATAATGAAATTAAATTTTCAGTTACGTCAGTACATTTGTGACAGATGAAGAAAAAAACACTTTTTTTATGATAATGCATCCTACGCTGTAATATAAGCTGATAGAGCAACTGCGTAAATAAGTTTATTCAACCTATAATAAAGGTCCGTATCAGAATAAAACTTTTTTTTTTATAAAATTTTACGCTAGACTGGTAGTGTTGTATAAATTCAGTTTAAGGATTTCGTACTCATAAGGATAGTAGCTCTAAAAACGTTATATTTTTCTTGTACACTTACTGATACGTTCGTTTCTTTTTCTAACACTTAATTCTGTTCTAGAATAAATTATATAAAAATTGATCAGAAGTTGTCTATATCATCTTAATTAATCGGTGTATAGTATACATTTGTAAAGATATTTTTTACTCGAGTTATGTATAAAGCTATGTACATTTTATGACATAATAAATGGAAATTAAAATCAGGTTTATTTATTTAAAAAATATCACTTTAATTAAATTAATTACCTTATCACACAAAAAAATTATAATGTAGTAAAAACATATAACATAAACATAACGACTGTAAATTGTAAAATTGTTAATGAATGAATAAAGATTATTAATTATTATTCCTATTACTAAATGATTTCTTACTTAAATAACAAATTACAATTTGATCCCAATATTATGCTGAATACCTGTTAATGTATTGATATATGTAAGTGTTTTCCGTATCAATATTAGTTTTTCATATAAACTGATTCGTTAAACAATACTGAAAAATATCACAGATGCTGCGTATAGAATCTAACATCGTGTTGTTTTTAAGTCAAATTTAGAGTTGATATACTAAGTAAACTCATTTTATTTTAAGTTTAATAAAATAACTAGCTGATCCCGCGACTTCGTCCGCGTGGAATTTAACTGTATTTTTCTAAAATAAAAGTAGCCTAAGTTACTCTTTATTACATCAGCTACCTGCCAAAAAAAGTCCTGTTAAAATCGGTCCAGCCATTTTAGAGATTAGCCGGAACAAACAGACCGACAGACAGACAAAAACATAAAAAGTGTTTTTTTGTTATATGTACCGTATTTATATTCATATGCATATAGTACAGACACTTCAATTTTATTTATATGTATAGATAATAGTGAAATCTTTTCTAACATACTGACAATTTCTACAATTAACAAGATTTATTTCCTTGTTAGTAATTGATTGCATCATATTGAAACTCAGTTATTCATAATGAAATTAATATCTTGTTGTTTGGATGCAATATCTGAAATGAAACTAAGACGAGAGATATGTATAGAATTGCCTAAGTTCATCGTTGTAAAGGTAGAAAAATTTAAGTAAATAGCTAAATATTTTCATTACTTAGAACACAAAGACAACATAACATACGACTCATAACGTTTTATGTAAAATGCCTATATAATGCCTACCTATAAAAGAATGTTAGAAAAATTTTAATCTATTATTTTCCTGTATGGGTTTACTCTACATACTTCATCTCTAGGTATAATTGCTAATGCGTATAAATGTGTGTCATTTTAATAGAGTAAACTGACATAGTAATGGTAAAAATATTTTTTTTACTAATAAAATAACTAAAACAATTATTAAAATAAAAAACATTTTTAATAGAAAAATAATAGAATATTTAGAATAAAAATGACAGAATTCAAATGTAACGAACAATACGAAAATAAAATTTTTTTTTCATTAGACATCCTTCTCTTACTGGGTTAAGCTTTTACTGGGTTAGGTCATAAATTTTTTTTTTTCATTATTTAATCAAGGTTTTACGCGGACGATATACCCACTGCCCTCGCTTTGACGAGCAAAGATATAGACTGTAAATTAAAATTGGTATTGAAGTGAAGGAGGAAAATTATAAAGAATTAGTAGTGAATTGAAACCAAAGAGAAAAATTCATAGAGTACTGCAAAAGAGTGATTCAAAGGGTAGCAAAAGAAAATAGTAAATAAGTTGTATTGTAAGAATACAAACTGTAATATAGTAAACAATAAAAATGTAAAAATAAGAAAATAATTTAAATTTAAATTTTAATTAATTTTCTTACTTTTTAGGTAAAAAAGGTATAAGTCGTAAAATATATATATGTTTTCTAATATTATAAATGTGAAAGTAGAGATGTTTGTTACGCTTTCACGCAAAAACTACTAAATCGATCATCGTGAAATTTTATACACATGTTCTTGGAGGTATTAGAATGAACAGAGGATATTTTTTATTAAAAAACAAATATTTTTTTAGTTAATGGATTCAATGCGAGCGAAGCCGCGGTTTTAGAATTAGTTTAGTTTAGTTAAAGAATTAGTTTGAATAAACATTAATAAGCCTGGAAATTGATATCAAAGACGATGTGTGATATTCAATAAAAAAAGGCCGTATTGGCGAAAATTGACCAGATTTGTCGACCCCAAATAAATGGGCCAGGCAAAAGAAGAAATAGTTTTTTCCTACAATGAAAACAGATCAGATTATTTATGCGTCATGAAACAATCGATATGTTTATTGGTACACTATCCTTATTATTGTATATGCCTACATACTCGTAGATTGTATTTAAGCAGATCGTGTGCTCATATGTCAATAGACAGTAGCCGATCTCCGGAACTGCATACAGCTGAACGAAGTTAAGTCGGATATTTATTTGCGAAATATTGTAAGTATTGATTTAATTATAATATACTTTATAACTAGATGTACATAAATTTCTAGTCTCTAGTGTCTGCGTCTATGGGACTGATTATCAGTTCTAATAGATTAAATTATGGTTTTTTTGTCTATTATTATAGTCTCGAAGAATAAATAAAAGTAATGCTATATTCTATTTTAAAATTTTGCTTTTTTAACAAAAGGTTTAAAGTTATGAATTCTACTATAATTTTCTGTGTTACCTCTGAATACTTTTAAAATTTCGTTGAATTGTTTTTTAAATTCAAACTTATATAAATTTCATATAATATTTGATCAAGATTTAACCAGTAATTTTTGATTTTGATAATGTGTTAATATTTCGATTCCATAATAATCAAACTGCTTTATTCAGATATTTATATTATAATTATTCTTTTTCTGATATTTTTTCAAAGTTAAGTTAAATTGCCTAATAATTATCATCGTTTATTTATTGTAAACTAGCTGACCCGCGCAACTTTGTCTGCGTCACGCTTACACGTCACTTATCATACTTCGCTCAATTTACTTAATATCTTTCTAAATTACATCCTATGTTATTCTGATATATAAGCTATAATGTTTGGGGAATCCATAAAGTTTGTCGAAATCCATTCAGGATTTTTTGCGTGAAAGAGTAACAAACATTTATCGATCGATCAATCCATACTCACAAATTTTCGCAATTACCTATAAAATTGGTAAAATTGTAGCTGCATTTGGTACCAAATATGATTTTACTGAACTTGGATTTGTCATTTGCTGCAATTTTTATTTATTTCTGACCGAGGACAAATTTTAGAACAAATTTAAGGTTATCTAGCTACTGCTTGTTTTTACTCAACAACATCTAACACACAGTATCAGGTTCGTTCAAACCGAGCGGCCGCGCGAACGATTGATCACTCGTAATTTATCCTAGTAAAACCTCTTTTTAAATTTGTACTCTACTGATATACTTATTAAGTTCATATTTCAGCGATCTCTGGTAAGTTTTTAGTCCATTATATTATATAATACTAGTAATGGAATAAAAGATGGCGGAATTATAAAAAGCGGGAAATTTATAAATGAAAATGAAAATGAAATATTCTATTGTCTATTATTTATAGGCATTAGATATACAAATATGAAATTAATATGTAATGTAAAGATTTTACTAAGAACTCCACTCAACTGCTAGGTATATAAATTTGAGTTGTATTGTTTTTTTTTAAGTATATTTGTTTCTCTTCTGTTGTTTTTAATTTTTCATTGTATAGGTATGTATATAAATATTTTTTTAGGGGATACTAAGTTACGCCTATATAAATACATATGTATTTTATTATATTTTATATGTAATTATTAAAATAATCAATATTTAAATATGTAAATTTATATATTTCTTTTTAATTCAATTATAATAATGCTGTGATTTTGCATATATTTATGTTTTGTTGATCTTTTCGAGGTTAATTACAATATGTTTAGCCAGAAAGTCATATGAATTCAGAACTTCTGACTTATTTCCACAAAAAAAAGAACCTCTATTTGCATGAACAATCTAAGACAATATCATATAAAAATTTGAAATAAATTAAATACATTGGAATTATAACAAATTTTCAAAATAACAAATAATGTACCTTTATGTTTATTCTTTCTTTCTTTATATTTATTTCCAATAAAAGAGAAAGCCGAATAGAGCAGATCGTAAATATTTACGGCAAAATTTCAATTGAAAGTATTGTCATCGCGTTTTGGTGGACCCAAAGTCTCCGAAAAGAGATGTATACTGTAGAATACCTACTTACATAATAATTTTATAGTGTGGACAAACTCCTCTTTGGCTTGGACAGTTGCCATTGCTTTTAAATTACCAACGGGTTACGAACACAGATGAGACTATTTGCCTTTGTCAAAATTGCAATAGAATATGTTGGTGGTTACTCTATTCTCCCAAATGTGAATTTAAAAAAGAATCTATATTATTGTAAATATGTTTCCTTCTTTGAAAATAATACAAGCTGAGTTTCTCCCTTCCTCCAAAATGACGGTAGATTGAACATTGGACATAATATCATAAGAGTCTGCAATAGACCTACAAGAATAAAAATATTTTTTATTTTAAATTAAACCACAACTATATCTAGTTTGTAAATAACTAAACTAGTGCTGGCAGTTAATTCGTTATATTTAAATACTTATGTTGTAGGCACTTATAAGAATCTACAAAAACAATGGCACCTGCCTACCTAATAGTTTTTTTGCGATTAAACTATGGTAATTCTAATTCAACATCGCATTTGGATGAGGTAATCCAATTTTATTACAAGATATAAAAAATGTAATGTTGTAGTAAAAACAGATGGCAAGAAACTTAACTGAGATACCTATTGTTTATATCAGTTGTTTAGTACCTATAACATAAGTTTTGATTAGCTTGGAACTAGATGGCGCTGTGTGAATTGTCTTGAGATGTTATTATTATTATGCTGAATTGTCCAGGGTTATTACAATTATTATTAAGCGTATGTTTTATTTGTAGGTTTTATATTTATTTATTTAAACCTGCATCAGTGTACAGTCTGATGCGCTCCTGACTACCAAACTAGCGTGAGCTGTGAATCAGTTAATATTGCGATATGTATTTACTAGTTCGATTTCGATGATTCTTTTTCAGTAATTTATTTAGTTTAATTAGATTTTTAATAACTATATATTGAAGTGCTTAGTTATTATAAGTTTTTTACTATACTTGTGTATTGTCGGCGTTCATATTTAGTTTGACCACATACCATATAACCATAGACAAATGGGTATGTCTATTTCTATATTTTGAACATTACTACCCATATTTTAGACAGTATAGTTTAATTTAATGCATTTTTGTACAATATTATAAAACAATTAATTTTATTTTGCCATATTTTATATTTCTCACCTACTATTTTAATAGAAAAGGGTACAAAGATTATGCTTCACGTATTAATATATGCAAATGATTGGTGCAAACCAGTATTATGTTAGTACTACTTCGTTCAAATTTGTGTATACAAACATTAGCGAACGAAGCCGCAGGCGTAGCTTGTTTAGTTGTAAAACTATGTCAAGTTTAACACGTTACTTGATTGATTAAACACCGTACCAACAATTATGTATAGCTTAATATCACAGACATAAAGTTCAATATTGTAGCCACGCAATGATCTAAATAATCTCACCATGAGAGTTATTGCGAAGTAGTCATTACCTGGTTACCTTCGTTGCGATAACCCCTGGCTTTCCACGACTTATTTATCTTCTTAAGAAATATCAATATCAACAAGATTCTCTTAAAATAGACTAAACGTCACGAAACTCGTATTAAACCAACAAGGTTTGCTATCAATTTAAAAAATAATAATTTTTGTTGTAAAATAACACAGTCCATAACAAGTATAAGAAAATACTGTACGTTTACAATCGCAAATAGCCATTAGATATAATTTTAAAATAAATTTCAAAATTTTAATTATGGAACGTCAGAGTTGCGATTTGTTTTGCAAACATTACTTTTGTGTGTGATAGAGATATTCAGTGGATTACGTATACAGTTGTAAATATAATTTACTTCGTTCCGATTGCAGTTGCACGTTACATACAAACTGTTACTTAGCAACAATACTTATTTTAAATGTGATGGATTATACTTTTTCTACTTCAATCAATGTGCCTAATAGTGTGCCTCAATATAACGTGGTCATTAAGAAATAGTATATAAAATAGGCAGAACTATTTAACAATATTTATATCACTAAATACAATATAGAAATTTGATTTTTTTTTTTTATTTAATATTAAACATTACAGTATTAAAATGTAATTTAAATTAAATTAAATTAATCTGAATAGTGAATTCATGCATAAAATATTAATGTAGGTATATAATAGTGGAAAATTATATAAGTAATAATAATTGTAAAATATCACATTTCCAATATAATAAAATGTATATGTATGTATAGGACGTTATATTATAAATAGGAAACAGGGTGTGTTACTGTTACACGCATTAATCAACATTTTTGCATATATTACAATCGATAACATATAGTTTTGTGGAAATTGACAATTATTTATATAACAAAATATAATGTAACAATACCTAATCGTGACTAAAACGTGAATAATCGCTTAATGATTGTGATACGAGACCAACGTGAGAGTAAAAAATTTACTCTCATTGTGGTATATTATATAATAATAAAAATAATCATAACCCAGGACAATTTACACACCGCCATCCAGACCCAAATTAAGCTAAAGTTTATGTTATCGGTAGTAGATAACTGAGACAAATAAATACATTTTTTTCGTAAACACATACATATACATAGAAAACACCCAGACCGATATAAACAATCATACTCATGAATTCAAAATGTATGCCGCGCGGGGAATTGAACCCACCACAGAGGCCGTCAAGTTTGTGTACCATAGATACCTAATCAAAATGTGTTTTTTTTTATGGATGACAATGAAATGGTGCATCCGCCTGCGCTAACGGTTTACGCTGTTGGGGCACCAGTGAAGCATGAGGTCAGGTCAGTTAGCCCATTGTGACAAATTCACCAAGATTTTATAACACGAAGGTTTCCAGGGGGAACCACGTGGAGATCAACCTGACATGGTAATGTACCATGTCAGGTTAAGGCTGGTTATAGGCTAGCAATAAGATCATCAATCCACAATACTAACAATCCCATTTCCCCCCCAATCAAAATGTGTTGGAAAGATATTTTTTAATGGATAAATATGAAAAGTTATGTTCACTATATATTATTGCTATATAATCACGACGGTTGGAAGGACTGAGTGGCTAGTATCTTATTAATATTATAAATGCGAAAATTTGAGTATGGCTAGATGTTTTGTACTCTTTCACGCAGAAACGATTGTACGGATTTGATGAAACTTTACAGTGATATAGCTGTACATCAGAATAACATATAGGCTATAAAT